GAACAAATTTATGCTTAAATTTTTTTTTTAAAAATTTTTTTTTAAAACGAATCCTTTGTAGAAACAGAGTTACTACAAATATAAAATTTAAAAGTTGTTTTTAAAATATATTAAAAAATTGAATATTTAAAATAAAGATAGTTTTTATAATAAAGCTCTCATTTTACTATAAAATTTTAGTAAAAGAAATTAATTTAAACTTTAAAGTTTTTTTTAAAAAAGGCTTATATTAAAATCGAACCTACAACAATAAATCCCAGTTTTTATTAACTGGGGGATGATTAGAAGATTTAATATATATTTTAATAAAATATTTAAAAGAATTGAATATTTAAAACTAAAAATAATTTTTATAATACAGTTTTCTTTTCATTTCATCAAAAATATTTGAAAATAAGCTGTATTATACAAACTTTAAAAATTTTTAAAGGATGAACAATATCAGAATCGAACCTACAAAAAACACTCGTGTTTTTATTAACTCGAAAGGCTTTGCTTCATTTATAATAATTCTAATAAAGTATTTAAACTGTTTTTATAAATTTATTTAAAGAACTGAATATTTATAAATAAAAATATTTTTACTATTACATTATATGATGTTATATATTAAATACAAAACATGTGTTAAAAATTTCTATTAAAAAAATTTAGTATTGTTTCGATTGGCTCCCCAAATAAGTTTTGGCGCCCCACGATCGGATTGGCGCCTAAAAATCGGATTGACACCCCATGTTTTATATATATATAAATTCTTATAAATTTTTTTAACAAAATTTTTAAAATATATAAATCTTATGATTTATTAAACATTGATGTGGATTTTTGGGGAGAAAGAATCTTTTGAAAATTTTTTGAAAATAATAGGAACAGGTAATTAAAAAACTTTATTATTTTTTTATTTATTCTTCTTAAAATTTTACTGAAAATTATTATATACATAAAATATGAGGCGCCAATCGAAACGGTACCGGGTACATTGTTCTTTTAATTATAAAATTTCGGTTCAAAAACTTATAATTTTTAAATTTTTAAATTAAAAAATGGTTTATATCAAAATCGAACCTTCAATAATAAATCACTGTTTTTATTAACTGCGATGCATTTTGCAATTTAATATTAATATAATAAAATATTTAAGTTATTTAAAATATTAAATGATTTAAATATTAAAAAAAGAATCGGTTTTCCTAATACAGTATTCATTTTATCACAAAATTGTTAATTGTTCATTTTATTTTAAAATTTTATAACCTTTGTTTTATGAATAATAACTGTCATAACCGAGGTTTTCACAATTGATACCAATCATTTTATTGGTTCTTAAAACAAATATTTTAAGTTCTTTTTTTGGGTATATAAACAAAATATCCTAAATTAAATATATATATAATGAAAAGTGAATTTATTTACAAACATTTTAAACTTTCTAAATCCACTAGCCGTGTGGGGCACGACATCTTGAATTCAAGCAGCTATCCTACACTAAATATAAACATAATAACTAATGATAGAATAATAACAAATTGCTATTTTGCTACATACTATGTGACAAATAACACTGTCTCGACCAAGAAGACAACCGAAACAGTTAAATTTAATGGAAAAATACTAGGAATTAAGTTAGATGAACAACCATTCTTTCATAATGAAAATTTTGAACAACCTAAGTCCTAGTTCTGTATCTAAATGGTTCAATACCTTTGCACACTTACGCTTAAGTTGTGCTTAGAGTGAAGACCAATCAAAACATATTATGAGTAGTATTACTACACCAGATATCTTTAAAACTATCGCTTTGAGCCTGATATTGAATCAATGATCCAGTCCTTTAAAAGTTTAATTTTTCCTTTGACACATTATCCTTTTCATAGAGAAAAATTAGAAAATATTTAATATTTCTATTTTAAGAAAATTAAAGGGTATTTAAATAAGTTTTCAGAATATTTAAATAACGCTAACATGTGCATACCAGAAAATGAAAAAAATACTAAAAAGGGAAGTATATGATTTATTCTATATGGGGTTAATAAATACACATAAAAGAGTTATTAAACTGCAAAATATTAAAAATTGAAGATGCAGTTACAATAGTTGAAGGCCTTGAAACAAATCTTAATTTGGAAACTTTTAATAATAATTCAAAGCAAATAAGAACAGTTTCAGAACTCCAAGAAATTAAATATCTTAATACTACAAAGCCCAAAAAAGAAAAATTTTTTAAATTTAAATACTCTAAGTATCATATGTGGTGTAGTCATATAACTGAGGAATGCACTAAAATTAACACTAATAAGAAAGATGCGTACTCAATTTAGGAAAGTATAATAATTCCACAAAGAATTGAAGTATAAGACAGATCAACGATATCATAGCACTGCATGTCTTTAATTCAGTGTCGTTCAAAAATATAATTTCTAAACAAAAGGCAACCGAACTTAATCATAAAATTGAAAAAAAAATTTCTGTGCATTTTTAAGTCACGAATGGAAATATTCTAATATCAACGAGTTTGTTAGTGTCAAAATTGGTTTTAATGAACATCATAATTAAATTTTTACAAGTGATTTTCTGATTTCAGATATCTTTGTAAATCATATAATTTTAGGAGTAAATTATTTCGATAGAAATTTAATCAACCTATTAGTAATCTTTCCGACCTAGAAAACAAGCTTACTGAAAAAACAAAATGTCTATCTATACAGCATTTCGTTGAAAAAATAGTAAACAGGTTTATAAAAAATTCAAATATATTAGGTGAAATTATAAATGTTTGTCACGAATCAACCTTAAGTCAGAAAATCAAATAAATACTAAGCCATATTCTATCCCTTATCTTTAATGGAGCCATTAAAAAAATCTAAGGAACTCACAGATGGAAATGTTATAAAACGAAGCACTTCTAATATAGTGCCCTCTTGCTTCCTTATTCTGAAAAAAGATAGAGACTTGAGATTTATCGTCGATTACCAAAGACTAAATTCAAATACAATAAAGTCTTTATATCCAATTCTCCGTTTATTCGACCAAATTTATTCTCTTAAAGGTCTGTATTTTTCTTTAAAATAGACTATATTTCTGGATATTACCAGATTAAGTTTCACCCTAAAGATATTTATAAAATCGCTTTCATTACTCTTTTTTGAACATACGAGTTAATAAGAATGATTTTTGGCTAAACTAGTGACCAAGCACCTTCCAACAATCATTAAATGATATATTCAGAGATCTTGATTTTGTGCGTGTATACTTAGATAACATATTAATTTGTTTATCAACAGAAAGTTACATATTAACATATTAAGAAAGTTTTAGAAGTTCTAAAATATAATAATATTACATTAATCAAGGCAAATTCGAATTGTTTCAAATTGAAAAAGAATACCTAACCATATTATTGATAAAGAGAGGATAAAACTCTAACTACAAAACTCTTTTCGGCCCAGTATTTGAAATTCCCAAGTCAAGGAAACAGATTCAAAAATTGATAGGTTTTCTAAATTGGTTTAGAGAATTTCTACCAAGCCTGTCAAAAAAATTATTCCATTAAAAAAATTATAATTTAAAAAAGAGAAATTTCTTTGGTCTGAGACTTATAACAAAATAGTAAAAAGATTATTTAATTTTATTAAAACGAAGACTAAATTGTATTATCCTAACATCAATGATTTTTTGACATATACACAAATGCAAGCGATCTTGATGTCGGTACCATCTTGCTTCAAGATAAGAAGTAAATTGGCACTTTTAGTAAAAAGATAACTAAGCCCAGCATAACTATACAGTTACATGAAAAATAGTGTCTCGCTGTGGTTTTAGCCTTAAATCACTTTAAACTTTAAATTTTTAACTCTTCAATTAATATCTTTACAGATCATTCAAATCTGATCTATCTTAACTCATCAAAACTACAACGAATCCAAAGATGAAGAATTCTCATGAAGGAATACAATCCAAGCTTCATCAACTTAAAAAATTCTTCTAATTCAGGTGCTGACTTCCTATCAAGAGTCTTCACTATCATTCAAAAAAAAGATAGTTCTGAAAAACTCATCAAAAATTCTTATTCGTTATTGAATCACCCAGGTTCTAAACGTCTATTTAACACAATAAGACACATTGACCCTAATATTACAAAAGCAAAAGTCGAATATATTACATCATTATGTGAAACCTATCATTTGAACATTAATTTAACTACCAAATATGGAATGTTGAAAGGTAAATTCAAGTCGGAGATCCTTAGGAAGTGGTAAGTCTTGATATTATAGAGACAATTGAACTAGAAAATGGTCAAAAGATAAACCTGCTTAATATAATAGATAATATTACAAAATTTTCTGTATTGCAACTTTAATCCAGATTTATTCCAAGTCAATTATCAAATATTTCGAGAACTATTGGTTATTTAGGTATCCAATTCCAAAAATAGTTGTAAGTGATAATGGTCTCTAGTTTGTGTCAAAGAGAATTAAAACACTCTTAGAATCTCATAATATTTACCATCATAAGACAATCGGCTATAACCTAGAGGAAACGCTATTATAGAATAATCACACACTGACATTATTTCCAGTCTGAGGTGTTCGGATCATAAAGATATCAAAAAAGCTGTCGTTCCGTAAATGATTCACATAATAGTTTATTCCAAACAATTCTAGGATGCTCACCCCTTCAACTTGCCTTTGGTAGACTTAAATTTAATCCTGTTAAAATAGATAATGTGCAAGAACTTCTTACTAATGCCAAATCCAATATGAAGATACAAAATGGGGATTATATAGAGAAGGTAAATAAACGACGAAAAGATGTTTAATTTTTAAATAAGCTTATTTTTTTCAAGAACCGTGACATTTCTAAATTACCACCAAAATCTTTAGGGCCTTTAGAGTCCTAGATGTCAAACCAGAGTTTAACACTGTGTCAGTTGATATAGATGGTATTGCTAAACGTTTCTCTTTTAGAGACATAAAATACTTTAAGGAAGAGGAGGGTGTTGTAACCGAGATTACTTACAATTGACATTAATAATTTTATTGATTCTTAAAAAAATGTTTTAAGTTCTCTTTTTTGGGTATATAAACAAAATATCCTTAATGGAATATATATAAAATGAGAATTTAATTTATTACCAAACATTTTAAGCTTTTTAAAACCACTAGCCATTTGGGGCACGACAAAAATATTCATGTTATTTTTTAATATTAAAGGATTTGAATATTTAAAATAATTATTTTTTTATAATAAAGTTTTCATTTTACTATAAAATTTTATAAAATAAATTTCTTTTCAAACTTAAATATCTTTTAAAAAATAGCTTATATTAAAATCGAACCTACAAAAATCAACTAGAGTTTTTATTAACTATTTGGTGATTATTAACTAATATAAAAATGTTATAAAATATTTAACCTGTTATTTTAAAATTTATCTAAAGAATTGAATATTAAAAAATAGAAATAGTTTTAATAATACATTACTCTTTTTATTATAAAATTTTGTTGAAATAAGATTTCTTTTTCAAATTTAAAAATTTAAAAGCGGATTATATTAAAATCGAACATGTAATAAAAATTCACAGTTTTTATTAACTGTAAACTGATTTCAAGTCTATGAATATATGTGATAAAATATTTAAGTTGGTTTAAAATATTTAAAAGAGTTGAATATTTAAAACTAAAAAAGATTTTTCTAATACAGTTCTCATTTTATTTTAAGATATTTTAACCCTTGATTTATGAATAATAACAACAACAAAGATATCAATAAAATAAGTTTTGTTTTTCAAACTATAAAATTTTAAAAGCGGCTTATATTAAAATCGAACCTGTAATAAAAATTCACAATTTACATTTAATGTGAATGGTTTAAGATTGTTATATTTTTATGATAAAATAGTTAAAGTTGTTTTTAAAGTATATTAAAACAATTTAAAATTTAAATAGATTTTTAAAAACAATCTCTATTTTTAAAGAATATTTAATTAAAATAAAAAATATTTATAGCGTTCCATTGAATCAGATATTAAATCAGATACGAGTTTTTATCTGTTTCAGAACAAATATAAATTCCAAATTTTGAAAATATAACATTAATTATGATAAATAACTTTAATATATTAACTAGTCAGTTAATTGACAATTATATTGATTAAAAAATCTTATAATTTAAAATATTTTATAATATTATGTTATAATTAATACTTGACAATGGTTTCTTAAGATCAAAATTTTTAGAAAAACTATTTAAGTTATTAAATAAATTTTACATTTAAAAAAATTATTTTTATTATCGAAATCGGTAGAAAATCAATAGCTAAGTTAATTAATTTAATACTATTAGTTGTATCATCACTGTTCATTATTTCAACTCAATTGCCGTTGTCTTATATTATATAATCAATATCCCTCTTTATTCCACTATTATTAACTTTCACATGTTAAATTTTTTAAATCAAATAAATGCCCTGTCGTAACCGATGTTATTTACAATTGACTCTTATCATTTTATTAGTTCTTAAATCAATTGTTTAAGTTCTCTTTTCTAAGTATATATACAGTATTGCTCAAAAAAACGTGACCACTGAAATTTTTAAAAAATATATTGTTTTACAGTATTTAATTAAATTTTTTCAATAACATTATATATTTTAATAATAAATACAGCTAATTTCAAAAAATAACAATAAATTTTATGCAAGAAGAAAATCTTTACAAAAATTTTTTTAAAAAACTGTCCAAAAAAACGTGATTATCAATAAATTTCCCTCAAAAATAGATTTTTAAACAATTTTTAATTATTGACCTATGACTAATCACATTACATATGAGGTTAAAGTTTTAATTAAAGATGACTTGTAATCGGATTTAAGTCAAAGAGAGATGGCTCTTAAAAGACAGGTTAGTAAAACCTTAGTATGTAATATTAATAAAAAGTTAAAGAATAGAACACCACTGGAAAGGAAATTTGGTTCAGGACGACCAGAAATATTGTCTAATGAATTAAAACGTCAGTTATTCTTGATTTATGATAAAAATCATAAAGAATCTTGCCTAAAGATTACACAGAAATTTGTAGAAAAGTTTTATGTGTAAATTTCAAGACAAATTGTGTCAAGAATTTTATCTGATTTTGGTTTAGTTACTGCCAAACTAGCGAAAAAACCACTCTTAAGACCTATTAATATAGAAAAACGACTTATTTTGTCAGAAAAATTTTTAAGGATTTCACATGAAACCTTAAGAAAAATAATTTTTACTGATGAGCTAAGTTAAATCTTTTTAATACCGATGGTATTAAGTATGTGATTTATTTTTCTTGGACAGAGGTACAAACCTGAAAATACAATTCCTTCAATTAAACATTGAGGTAGATCAATGATGGTTTGGGGATGTATCTCATATGGCGGGGTTATAAGAATTGTTTTTATTGAAGAAACAATGACAGCTGCAGTGTATAAGCAACTTTTAGCCAATAACTTAAGACAATCTGCTCGTGAAATGGGTCTTGAGGAATTTATCTTAATGCAAGATAATGATCCTAAGCATACCTCAAGACTTGTTTCCAACTGGTTAGATGAAAAAGATATTCAAGTTTTAGATTTACCACCACAGAGTCTAGATTTAAACCTTATTGAGGCAGTCTAGGCTCTTGTAAAGTACAAATTGGCTCAATTTGGTAAATTTAAAAAAGATGAATTAAAAGAAAAAATAAAAGAAATTTGGTATAATATACCAGTTAATTTGATACAGAAGTATGTTGATAGTTTTCAGAAGAGGTGTCTAGAGGTGTATAAAGCAAAAAACTATAACACTAAATATTAAATTTATTGATGGTCACGTTTTTTTGGACAGTTTTTTTAAAAAAATTTTTGTAAAGATTTTCTCCTTGCATAAAATTTATTGTTATTTTTTGAAATTAGCTGTATTTATTATTAAAATATATAATGTTATTGAAAAAAATTTAATTAAATACTGTAAAACAATATATTTTTTAAAAATTTCAGTGGTCACGTTTTTTTGAGCAATACTGTATAATATCCTTAATTGATATAAGTGATTTCATTATCAAAAATTTTAAGCTCTTCAAAGTCTCAGTCGGTTGGGGTACGACATGTATTTTTTTACTAATTAACCTAAAACCTAGTTTTTAAGATTTTATGACGTTGCATAACTTCAACTATCTTTTTATTATAATCTTACTTCTTTTTTATATTTATGATTACATTATTAATAAGTAACATTACACCATCTTTCAATATTAAAAAAATTTATTTAATAAAACGGTTTATTATAAATTATTTTAATTAGTTAAAAATATATGTCGATTATAACAGTTAAAAAAAATAATATAAATAAAAATGAATTCAACGTTTGATAATATCTTACCCCCTAATAAATATTAGTTTGATTTCTGAAACTAAGTTTCAGAATTACTATATAAACAATTTCCTTAAATAAAACATGTTTAAACATAAATATTCTTTTTCAAGAAGCCAACACAGCCGTGCAGGGCACGACAGATAATCATAGCTTAATATAATTACGTTTGACAGATTGTGTTATAATTTATTTATCATCCACATCTCAATTTATAAATTTAAATTCTTTAAAATTATATTATAAAATTTTTACAGTGATTGATAAGACATCTGTACATGTTTGTTATTTTTTTTTAAGTTTTCTATATAAAAAAATTGGATAAATAAATAAATTTTATGAAAAAAGATTTTAAGTCTTAGGATGAGCACAACGCTAATAAAAATGTTTTAATTTTAAATTATTTCAATAAAAATATTATCATAACTAGTGAGTAATTTGTTTAATTACAATTAAATATTTTTTTAGTTTTTACTACTAATTTTTCCCAAAATTTATAGTTTGACTTTTTCTTAGAAATTATATTATTTAATGAAGTAAACTTTAGATTGTAACAAATAGGATGTTTTATCAAAGAATTTAAATAGATTTTAATAAAATTAATCTTTTAATATATTTGTTTACCTTTAATATTTTATTTTTATTATAATTAAGTACACAATTGTGCTTTTGCTTAGTAAGAAGCAAGGCACGATTTTATAAAGTTCGATTTTTGTTATTTTAAAAGTATTTATAAACTTTAAATATTTTATTAAAAATAATATAGGATTTTTCGATCAATATAATAATCGTTGCAACCAAATGAATAACTGTTGCAACCAAATGAATAAAATAGAATTCTCAAGTGTTTTTTTGCAATCAATATAATAATCATTGCAACCAATTGAATAACTATTGCAATCAATTGAATAATTCAACTGTAATTTTTGTAATTTTGCAATCAATATCATATTTTTTGCAACCATATGAATAATTGTTGCAATCAATTGCGTATAACAACTGGTAAAATACGGTTTTTGCAATCAATATAATAACTGTTGCAACCATATGAATAAGTTTTGCAATCAATTACATAATCACATTTTCTTCAGGATTTATAATACATAAAACGAAAAATATTTTTTAAAAAAATTTTTATCCAATATGAGTCAAAGAAATTTAAACAATTATTTAAATATAATTAATGAGGCAGAAGAATCAGTATGTAAAGTCAGTGAGGCAGAAGAATCAGTATGTAATTTGGTAAGGCAGAAGAATCAGTGTGTAAAGTTAGTGAGGCAGAAGAATCAGTATGTAAAGTTAGTGAGGCGGGAGCAATAGCAGCTCTGGTAAGGGGGCAGCAGCTGGGTCTGAGGAGACAACGTAACGTTGTCTCCAATGATGACAGACAAAGGATAGTGACTAAGTCACTTGAAGGTCACTCGGTTCGTGCCATAGCAGATATGCTAGTAATGCCTTATCAGACTGTAAATAGCATTGTTAAACGCTATAATACTTCTGGTAAGGTATTACTACAATCTCGTGGTGGTGACAGGCGTTCTAAACTTAGTTTAGATATAAAAGAAGCAATTCTTGCCTGGGTGGATGATGAACCCATTCTTAAGTTAAAAGATTTAAGAATAAAAGTCATCGAGACTTACGAAATCGATGTATCAATCAGTACTATTGATCGATGTCTTCGTCAATTCCACTACACCTTAAAACGAATTACATTAGTCCCCGAGCGTAGAAATAGTCAAAGCACTATTGAAGCAAGGGCTGATTACGAGTGTCAATATCGTACTCTGGAAGCAGATAATGAAGATAAAAACTTTGTCTTTCTCGATGAGGTAGGGTTTTAGGTGGTGACACGCCCAAGTAGAGGCAGATCTTTAAAGGGACAATCTGCATACCTCACTGTCCCTGCTTCCAGAAGTAGAAATATTTCTGTTGTGGCAGCAATGAATAAATATGGAATGATCTTCCATAAAGTTCATGAAAGGGCAGTAAACGGAGAAGATTTTAAAATTTCTCTTCGAGAATTAAAGGCTGCTTGTACGGAGAAAGGAATTGAGTCCCCTGTTTTTATAATGGATAATGCCAGAATCCATCATTACAAGGGACTTATGGAAAATAATGAACTTTCTCAGTACACTCTAAAGTATTTGCCACCTTACTCACCTTTTCTAAACGCAATAGAAAATGTTTTTTCTGTTTGGAAAAATTAAGTTGTGCACGAGGGTGCTTTAAATGAAAATCAATTGAGAACTCTTATTGTAGAATCGTTTGATAAAATAACTTGTGATCATTGCGGATCATTTTATCGAAAAATGTTAGGGTATTTAATAAGATCAGCAGCAAGAGAGATTATTTATGAATAAATTTAGTTTTGTTTTAATTATTTTTTCATATCTTTATATATTTGTAAATCCTGAAGAAAATGTGATTATGTAATTGATTGCAAAACTTATTCATATGGTTGCAACAGTTATTATATTGATTGCAAAAACCGTATTTTACCAGTTGTTATACGCAATTGATTGCAACAATTATTCATATGGTTGCAAAAAATATGATATTGATTGCAAAATTACAAAAATTACAGTTGAATTATTCAATTGATTGCAATAGTTATTCAATTGGTTGCAATGATTATTATATTGATTGCAAAAAAACACTTGAGAATTCTATTTTATTCATTTGGTTGCAACAGTTATTCATTTGGTTGCAATGATTATTATATTGATCGAAAAATCCTATAATAGAAGTCAATTTTTTTGATAAACTTGAAGTTATTCTCTAATTAAATTAATCATAAAATATTTAAAGTTAAATCTAATTGACAGCTTTTATTTAAAAAATACGAGTTGTACTATGTATCGGGTGAATTAAGATTTGGTGGTTATTTTATTTGTATTAATTGAAGTTTTAACATTATTAAATGTTTTTTACATTGAATATTAAAAAATTAAACATATTTTAATTCAAAATTTCTTATAAAATTTTTAGTAAAAAGTTTTACAAAACTGACTTTTAAAAGAAAAAGAATTATATTTTATTCACTTAAAAAAGTACTCGTCTCTTTTTTGTATCTTTATCACTATTTTTTAAATACCATAATATTTTCAAAGGGTAAAAATTTTATTAAAAGTTGAGTTGCTCTCCTAAAAATTTTCAAGCGGATTAAATTATCGTCTAACAAATTCAATCTTTATAAAATTAAAATAAATAAAAATTCTAAACTTATAAAGTTATTTGAAATTTTTTATTGTAATAACAGCATCATGAAAGGCTTAATATTTTGTTTCTTTTTACCTAAAAATTTACAAATAGTATAAATAAAAATAACATTAAAAGTACAACTATTAACTACTATTTCAATAAAAACTACAAAAATAATAATATCAGAAATAATATTCACAATTAGAGATGTAACACAATCAAATTAAACATTCGGTTTAAGAGTATAATATTAAATTGATAAAACTAGATATAATTTTTTCTATTTATTTAAAAAGAATATTTTATAAAATTTAAGTCACAACAAGAAATAAGAATTTAACTTTTATAGAAAATATCTAAAATTATTAAAAAAATAACTAATAAAAAATGATTTTTTTTACTTAAAACTAAGTATAAATTCCTTAACAATAAATTTAATATAAAATATTTTAGTTTTAAAATTAACTTTGATATAAATTGAATCTTTAAAGATTGATAGCTAGTTTTTTTAACTGGTTTTCAATCTTTGTTATCAAATATGAAATTAAGTTATTTAAAGTTAAATATAAAAAATTAATAAATAATAAACTTTTTGAAAATCTGATAATATAAAACTAGATTGTAGAATAAATATAAATAAACTTCACTCTGAGTTATTTAATTAATTAGATAAATATTTAAATTAAATACAAAGTTTTAAAAAATAAACTACTTGGGAATTGAATAATTAAAAATTAATTGCTTTTTTATATAAACCAGTTCATAATCTGACACTGTAATTAATATTTTATTAGTTTTTAAATTTTGAATTTTAATCTTCAAATTGTAAAGAGAAAACTTTAAAAATAATATCATTTTCATAAACAAGGGTTTATTTTGTTATAGTTTCGTGAATTAAAAAACGTATAAAATTGAAAAGTAGGATCAAGTCCCTTTTTTTCCCCAAAACAAAAACAAGTCCTTTTTTTTCCCAGAAAAATAAACAAAAAAATAATTAAAAATAAATTTATTATAATCTTAATAATATTAATAATTCTTCAAAGTTCTTATTAAATCCAAGATTATTTTTTCAAACTAGTTCCTTTAATAATAAATTAACCTTTGATTCCACAACACCTTTGTGCATTTTTAGAACATACTTGCATTTATTCCATGCACTTTCAATGTTCTGAGTGTGAACACCGGTTTGATGGTTCACAAAGTTTTCACTGTGATTAACAGTAAAATGAGAAAATCTGAAATTACTATTTCCAATGTGTTACAATCTGAAACAAATGATGTCATTGTTTCAGAAAATCCTATAAAAGGAAAATGAAGTAAATAAATTACAGTTTATGAAAGATTTTAAATATAAAAGTGAGAGAGATAGGAGTAGCAACTTGAATTCAAGGAGAGATAAAACTCCGGACAGAGGTAGAGAGAGTATTTATAAAAGTGGGAGAGATGTAGAAAGAGAGGTAATAAGATTTTTAGTGAATATTCCTGATTTGGCAGATAAGTTAGGAGTTGAAGTATTTAAGCTTAAGAAAGATGATTTTAGAAGTGTGCA